GGAAGGCAGAAGAGTTGCTTTGAGGGCTCAGAGTAGATGAGGGATATATGAAGTCTTTGTAACAAGTGTTCTGATAGTACTGACAGTGTAACGTTGCATTAAATATGCTTTCTTTCATATTTTCTGGAGTCTACCTTGCAAAATGTTGCAGCATACATGAACAACTATTACTGTTAAATTGCTAAAAGAAATGTAAAATTCTTGGAATAAGACTATAAAGACTGAAGCAGCCGGGTCCTACCTTAGTCTTGAGTGGGTAATCAGAACATGAAATAAAAACATTGTCCTGAATGGTAGAGTAAAGGTACCAAACACAAAGTCAAAATCTTGACATTTGGTTTTGATTCGACTGAAAAGCTCTCTGAAGTTCAACAGACTCTTCTACTTAATGGTAAGTTCTTACATGAAGGTATGGTTTAATAATCATCTTAGGTGTTTACATTTGCTTTATTTTAAGAGACTATATTGTCTACTTCTACTCACTAGATTCAAACCCTCTACCAACTATCTAGTTAATGTTATTCCATTGAACTGTAGCAGAGAATGTTCCTGGTGTGTGTTTTTATAAAATGTTCACCCAGTTAGGAAAACTGCTCTGGATTTAACTACTCAGAGAGTGCACACTGGTTGTAATGTTGGAAGACCTGCTGCTTTTTCTTTTCTCTCTGAGTAGATTCTTTGCTCACTCTCATTAGTGTTCTTCTCCATCACACCAATGTTAGTGCAAGATGTGACCCTCAGGAAGCATATGTTAGTCATAGTGAACAGTTTCCCTGTTCCCAGTGAAGAGGCCCACTGAGATTTTATGTGCTCAAAGAATCTCAGATTTTTCTTAAGAGGGAGAGGTTGTCCCTTATTGCGGAGCATATTTTCTCTGTTCGTGCACCTCATGTAGTCATTTCATGTGCAGTTTCAACATGAAACGGAAAGAAAGTCATGCCAGTTGAGCAAGCAGGTCTTCTGGACCCTGTTTATGTCTCTGGTACTGAATGTTCCAGGGGGTTCATTTTTCTTTAGAGATGGGTCGGATGTGTATCACCCTTTCATTTTAATTGACTCTGTATCCATGCGTGTAATATGAAAGGTGCAGAAAATCATCATGATTTTAGAATTTTTGTTTTGAAATCATAATGTGTTTCTGATCTTGATTTGCTCAGATTTAAATATCCGCCCTGGGCTGCATAAAAGTCCTATTTTGAGTTCTTATAGAAGATCTAAGGTAAATAAGATTATTTTGTTTTGTTCCTAACAAAATTTTAAAACAAAGGAAAACAAATATACAGTCTGGAAATCCCAGTACATTTTTAGCAGAAGTCTGCCTGATGATTATAGTGTTTGAAAAGTTCTGGCAGATATTTAAATTTTACCAGCTGCAAGGTGAAATAAAACATTGAGTTTCTTGGCTAGAATTAGAGTATGTCAGTCAGTGTGGTAACACGAGTTCTCATGCTGATCAAAAAAAACTGATTCATGATTAAATATTTATTTTGCAAATAAATCTTGGAAAAAGGAATTGTACTTGGTGAGTACTGTTGGGGAGATTAAAATCTTTCAAAATATGGACGCTGGGAAGAGAGGTCTGTGGTGGTAAATAGGTCTGTGGAATTGCTACTACCAGCTGTGATCCGCCACCATGTGAAACCGGCGCTTTGGGTACCTGGACTGCTTTGTTCCCTGCTGAGTTCTTTTTGTGTGTGTCTGTAAATCTTGGGTCATAAGTGGTAGAGCTCATGAAAGCAAATGCAGGAATTTAGGACTATTTTCAGGTCATTTTTAAAGTAGGCTGTGAAATGTTCATTTTTTATTTTATGTTCACATTTTTGGTATTGTGGACATACAACCGAGTGAATCAGGGAGTGTGTGTTTAGGAGAGGGGAACAGAGAAAGCATGCAGCATGTATTACACGTTACTCTGCCCATTAGAATGTTAATTAAGCTGCATAGGCTAAAGAGTTAGTGTGACTTGTAAGTGGTAAGTATTTGGGTACAAGTATTCAAGTACATAAATTGAGTTTAGAAATCATTCTGGGGGTAATGGCACTTTGACTTTATCAGAGGAGCTTCTTGACTTTAGGCAGATCTGTGTTTACAATGCATGACTCTTTAAATAATAGCAAAGCAGCCTCAGTTTTATTCTTTGGCCAAAGCCTCTTCTTAAATGTTGATTAAATATCACTGTGAAATGTGATTTTACCTTATCCTAGTCCAAATCTAACAAATCAAGATAGAGCCCTAAATTTTGAAGGATTCAGAGGATAGTATCCAGGTATCATCCCTTCATACTTAAAATATGTATAAAATGGCTTGTAATGACCATCAAAATGACTGTATTTCACCTCTGAGCCATTAGATGGTACGTGGGGAAAAACACAGCATGAGAGAAATAGATTTACCATAACATGAGACATCTAGTAAGTAATACCCGTGAAATCACTTCTGGTTGTGTTCCTGGGGAGCAAATGAAGGAACCATGAAGCTTGGGGCCACTTAGGCAGCAGTTAACCAAAAGGTTGTTGTTGCTGATGTGAAGTTCATTAATCTGGAACTATTTGCTTAAACCAAGAACAACAATGAAGGCAGCGTCAGAGCTGGGAGGATGTCAGGGGCAATTAAACATAGAAAGCTAGCCTCATGGGGACAAGGGCAAAAGGAAGTGGTCTGGTTTTGGTGGTGCTGCAGGGTGAGCCAGGAACCCCTGGCTCAAAACTGTGGCCCTTCGGCCTTTCCAGCCCATACCCTTTGCTGCCTCGTTTTGAACCAGTTTTACAGCACCAAGGGTATGATGAGAAGTTTTGTTTTGTAACTTGTCTAAGTCTGACATTTGAGTGGGGCCAGTTTTCAAATAAGCAGGGCTGCTAATTGCTAGCCCTATCCAAATTGAGAGGAACTTTTCAGAGCTTTCTCAAAAATGCATTCAGATCGTAAGCCTCATTTAAGTTGCTCAAGCGGGAATTACTGCAGTAACTTCTGACACATAGACAGGGAGGTCTCAAAACTTGAGATGCTGATATTACAGGTCCAGCTGTAGGAATGCTATTATTGTTTCTAACAAAAGTTCTTTTGTTCCTAACAGAAGTGTCATTTACGTTTATGTTTGCAATACCACCTGACATCATTAAAAAAAAAAAATTAAAAGCTGCCTGTGAATGGCTTAGAGGTTTGGTTGTCCCATGCTAGATACAGCAGAAGGGCAACAAAGGTAACACTCTGATGAGAGACTTTAAAATTGCCAATGGACACCCACCCTAGGGGTCTGGGCACGTGGGCAGATGTACAGTTAAAAGAGCCCTGTCTTTAAATGTGTCTGCTCAGAGTCTGGAAGCGGAGGCTTTGGGGCAGATAGAATCTATAACGCAGGTGTATTTGGACACTCTATACTTAAGCACGAGCTGTTACTCCTTTCCTTGGCTCGGCTTTTCTGAGTGTGTGTTAGCACTTCGCAAAACTTTTATTAAGTCTCTGCATCTTGTCAGGCAGTGTGGGTCTGGCTTGGAGGAGTTTGTTTTTAGCAGATATTTGCCAAGGTAACTAGTTCCAGGATCCAACTAGCTCACCTTTCAGCTCCCCAGGCTGTGCTGAAGACATTACTTGGAGCTTCTTTATATTGAATTTCATTGGTTCTTCCCCCTGTTTTTCTGTAAGGCTCCTGGCATTTGTGTAGCTTGAGCAGTCATAAATGAAAAGATCAGCTCATGTCAGAGTCAGCCCCTGAAGGGGCAAAGAGGCTTCAGATTGCCTTTTGGTTCCCAGTTTTATGTTCTCCAGTATGTGGTTGAGCTGTGGATGCCCGTGTGGTGGGGTCCACAGTTGTCAATGGGGAGCTTTGAGAGCCAGCCACCTGGCAGTTTACTGCAGGCTAGTTAGGAATGAAAACTCGTGGTGGTTAAAAATGTGAGCAAAAGATTTGCTCCTGGTACATACATTGGTGTTAGGGGTGGTCTCATGTAAAAGGTTTTCCTCAGACGCTTCTCTTTTAAATTGTGGCAGAGAAAGGTAACAATTGTCTGTTGGTCCTGGGCATCCTCCTCTTAGTTCTTCGACATCTTTCAGAAATGGGTTATCTGTGCTTTGTGAAGGGAAGTTTTTGCACAGCTTGTTCAGCATTCAAGGCAGTAACACACCACTGAACAAATTGCCCTCTTGCATATGCTAATCCGGCACTTAAAATAACTCATTGTAACAAGTTCTGATGCTTTAGCTCCAGAGGAGATGGGAATTGACAGACTGTCAGATCATGCCATGTGACCCCCAAATATCTAAAATGCCTCTTTTCTTTGGGTCAACAGTTCATACTCAAGCACATGCGAATGAAAGTATCCTGTGTGGTTTGTGGAAAAGATTAGTCCTTGTTTCTGCTTTTATGTGTGGGAACTGGCCTGGCTGTTGATTCACTGGCTGAAATTCCCTCTTTGGGTCTTAAATTTCAGTGCTTTTGGCGAGGAACATCAAGTCTTACTTTCAACAATAAATTAACAGAATTCAAAGGAATTTCTTCATTGTTGCTGTGGAAAGTGTTGATTTGTCTTTTAGGAAACCATGCTATTAATCCCACCTATTCTCTTTGCTTTTTTCTTTCCTTTTTTTTACCCCCCCTTGAGAGACACACAGTGACTCTTGCAGTCACAGAATAAGTCTAATAAAATAACCTTAGGTTTTACTCATAGACCATTCACGTTCCTGACCAGGAAGTCTCAGTGGGAAAGAATAAAAACACATCCTTGTATAAACAGCAAGCTCCCATTTCTCTAACAGTAAACAGAACAGAACATTTTAAGTGAGTAGGGCCTGAAGGATGGTTTGATTGCGTAGCCAGGGTCTCCCTTTCAAGCGCTTAAAGTTCTATAAATGTTTGCCAGCCAAGTCTTCAGATGAGATGAATTAAATGGAATGAAAAGCTGTGTAGGTATCACCTTTCTAAAACAGCTATCATATTCAGGTTGGGTTTTCATACGTACAAAGAGACCTGGGAAGAAATCTTTGATTAATTTTTTGTCTTGCAGAGTAATTCCCTCTTGGTCCCAGACAGTCTAAGAGGTACAGATAAACGCAGAAATGGGCCTGAATTTTCCAATGACATCAAAAAAAGAAAAGTGGATGATAAGGACTCCAGCCACTATGTAAGTGAATAAAGCACTTGAAATAATATTTGTTGCTTACTTGCTGATTTTCTAAGTGAGTATACAAACATACTGTATGATTTTAGTAACAATCCACATCCCTTAAAATAATGCTTTGAAGAGGATAGATCCTTACATTGCAGGAATTTATTTCCCTCTAGAGCTGTAAATTATGCTTTCGTCAGGCTCAGTATTAAATTTTAGGCTTTTTGCCTTAGTTACTCTTAAGCAGGGATCCAAGAATGCAGGGCTGGCTTCATTGGCGTGCAGTCTCTGCAGTTCCACAGGGTCACGCTTGTAAAAGGACCCTGTCTCACCCTTGATTTTAATGCTGTGCTCTCAGTTGTCTTCAAATTCTCATTTTTTGAACAGGGGCCTGCAGTATCATTTTGTCCTGGGCCTTGCAAATTTAGTAGTCTGTGCTGCTAAAAATGATCAGGGTAAGACTTGTGGTGTCACAAAATACCTTTTTGGGTGCCATTCTGATAGTACATTCAAGCTTGTATTAGACCTTGAGGCAGAGTTCATCCTGTTCTACAGCAAGCAGTTAAGTGGTGAAAATGGAAGAAACATTGGAGATGTCTAGTTTAGATTCTGCAGAGGAGATCACATGACTTGTTGATGGAGTGAGGACTGTTGACTCAGATTGAAGGAAAACTGAATTCACTTGGAGAGTACACTAAGCCAAATGGCCGTTGGCTCTGTTCTTGGCATCATAAACACTGCAGCTGACAATAACTTGGAGTTTCCTTGTGTGTCCCTGAGTGTCTGTTTCAGGATGAACACGTTCTCAGGAACAGTATGAGAGTAGAAAGCTGAATTAGGCCACTTCCTGTTACTCCTGGAGGAAGAAGGGTCTACCCCTGGCTTCCTGGTGTGTAGGCTATGTGGAGGTTTCCAGGCTAGGACTCTGCCTCCTGCTAACTGGCTCAAGGCTGTTGCTAACAATGGGTAACATTTCTTGAGCAACAGCTCAAGTTAGTGTCAGCTACTGGGTGGCTTTTATTGTATGCAGATTGTTTCATTTAACTCTTAAAACAACCATGTGAGTTTGGTACCATCACCTTTGTTTTATGAAAAAGCTGAAGCACAGACCTTGTAGGGGATTTGCCCAAGGTCAGAGTCAGTGGCTGAGCCTGGAGACATTCTGACTCAGACATCCATCTCTTAATCACTACGCCAGGATTCCCAAACTTGAGGGCTCAGGATGGATATTTTGTCAGAGGTCCTATACTAATAACCTAAGAACCTACGTTTTTGGTCATAACCAGCCCAAGCCTTTTAGTGTATAATGTTTACCCCTTATCTTTTTCCCAGAGCCAGCGTACTGGGAAAAACTAGTGAAAAGATCCATTATATGCAGAAATTTGAATACAATTCCAAGTTTTTCTGCTTGTGTATGTAAGTTATTTGATAGTGAGTGAGCTACAGTCCATATCTCTTCTTGACTGTTTTGTAACATGCGTGTATGTCTAGTTGTATAGGTAGCTGCGAGTAGTGATGTATTGAGGTGGTACTGAATCTGGGGCAGAGGCCTCAGACCTGTAATAGGCATATACTGTACGGTGAAGGTTTATATTTGTGGAAGGGTCTAATACAAAGCTAAGATTTAAATTACAGAATACTTAAGGACTCACTTCAAAGATCTACTATTGTAATAAATTAATATGCTACTTTTTGCCAGTTTGGTTTATATACTATAGCACATTAACCATTTCTATAAAATATTTTCTCTAAAAGGACAGCACTTTTAGCTTGTATGTCTTTACTATGCCATCCTTGGGTTCTATACACCTAAAAACATTTATGCTTTTCTGTGGGTTTACTAAGCAAAAGGAAGTTTTCTTTAGTATTAATTTTTTCTTCTATTACATGAAAATATTTCTTTCATGGAATATTTTGAATTACCTAGGCTTCCTCATTGGTTGTAATTTTATGTTGTTACTAAAACAACATAAAATTGCATGGTGCCTTTATAACAATGTCTAGAGTAATCCATTATTGAAGAAAGTAAATTGGGTCTCCCACATGTAATGCTCTAGGTACCGTTAGAGAAAACACTTAAGACATAACTTTAAAGTTGAGGTTAACTTTGTAGCCTGGATTTGTATCCCAGAGAAGGTCAATATGGGTAATGTTTGCACTTTACTAATATTTCTCAAACATTATTTGTACATTCTTCATTGATAAGTGACATCAGTAAAAGGACTGTTTAGATCATAAACTATGGGCTTTCTTCTTTTTGAGAATTAGGACCCGTTGCGATAGCCCACTTTTTCCATGTGCTCCTTGTATTAACTCTGCACTAAAAGACATCAGCCCTTTTGGCTAAAAAAGCCTTTTCCAACCTGCCTCAGACTTGTAGGACTGTTCACATCATTACATTGGACAGCTTTTCTGAAGCCTTTTCAAACTCGGTGCCACCTTGGAGTTTCCTCTGATTACCAAAATGCGCGGCCTTATGAAGAGACAAAGGAAGCCCTACTGCAGGGTGCCGGTGCCCTCCTGGTACTGCCGTCCCATCTCCCGTCCACCCCTCCAAAAATACTCCCAGTTGATTGCTAAAGAGGTTTATTCTTAACATGAGGTCAGATCTTGGATGTTATTCCAGCTAGTAACTAGCTTTGGGTTTTTTGTTTGTTTGTTTGTTTGTTTGTTTAGTTTTTTGCTTGCTTGATTTTTATTTTTTGCAGTAATTAGTCAACCCACAGAAACATGGTTAAGTTTGTCTTTATAACTATGAATTGTCTAAACATTAGATTTGTTGGCTGTCCTCAAGGTGAAAAGCAGTGACATGAAACTGTGTTTTTAGTTTGAAATCCAGTGGGAAAAGACCTGTGATAAAATACAGATTTCAGATTATACAGGAGATTCAGCTTGCAGATTGAGGATCGAGCCCTTCCGATGTGCCAGCTTCAGAGGGGGGCTGTGATTACATAAGTGGCGTGCTGTCGCAACGGAATCCCTGCCTGGGGCTCTGCATAGCCCCGGGTCAGATAAGAAGGGGAAAAAAGAGATTAATTACTAGGGCTGGCGTTCTGGAAGGGAGCCTATAGGCATATCCCAGGCGGTGTTTCAGTCTGCCTGATACCAAAGTACTATAGAAATTTAACTGGGCCTCAAACCTTTAATAAATGGCATTAAAACTTTTGTTTTTCCAGGACAGTGATGGTGACAAAAGTGATGACAATTTAGTTGTGGATGTGTCTAATGAGGTAACTGTTCTCTTTATCAAGTTGTATGTTCAGAGGGACTTGTGAGAAAAAGAAATGGAGTCACAGTATTTGGTTTCTTGCACTTTTATACATTAAGATCTTAATGGTTGTTCATGGATAGAGCAGTAATGCTGTAACAGACCCAAACTTTTGTTTCCTTAAAAAAAAAAAAAAAAAAAGTCAGTTTCCCTAATTATTTTGGATTTGGGTGTCTGGTGCTCATTTTCTTTCCGTGCCCTCCAGGCCAAGTATTTGAGCATGAGGAGGGATATGGTTGTTGCTAGAATTTTTTTTTTTTTCCCCCCTTTGTGGTGCCTAATTGGGTGTATTTGCAAACACCACCCTTTTGAACAGTGTTAGTGTGGGTACCCTTGTGTCCCCTAAATCTAAAGGACTTTCAGCATTTCCTTTACTTTAGAGAATTAGTGTGGAGATAAATGTGTAAGGGAAAGAACTGTCCCTTGTAAGCAAATCATGGAAACTTTGCTTGTACTTCTTTGCTTGTGCTTCTTGAGGACCCTTCTTCTCCGAGAGCAAGCCCAGCCCATTCACCCAGGGAAAATGGGATCGACAAAAACCGCCTGCTAAAGAAAGATGCTTCCAGCAGCCCAGCGTCCACGGCCTCTTCAGGAAGTTCCACTTCTTTGAAATCCAAAGAAATGAGCTTGGTAGGTAATAAGAATTCTTACTTGCCTATACTTGCCTATTTAGCAGTTTAGTTTTTTTGTTGTTGTTTTTTTCTTTTTGTGGGCCAGAGGACCCTAAGGTATTTGAAATGTGGGGTTTTTACTGATTGAGAGTTCTATTTCTGGGTATTTACAAGTGATACTCCTTCTTCTGCTCTTTGTTCCCAGACAGTGCTCCTTTTCCCTCTCTATTGTCTCTTTTGGGCCATGATGAGAGAGATGAGCTTCCCTGTCCATTGCCTTCTTACTTAGGGGATAGTTTCCCAGCACAGACTCTCTGAAACTTCCCAATTAGCATATAGTTCAAACCTCTTAGGTCCTGAGAAGCCCTCATTTTCTTAAGCTGTCCATTTTTACCTGGTTTTAGACCGAATCATCGTGTTGGATCATGTTGTCATTGGGTTGCTGGTCAGTCTGGTGATGTACACAAGGTGGCACTGGGGGAAGCCTGGAACTGGTGACGGGAGCTGTAGCAGTGCCTGCCATACTAAGTCATTTAGCAAACACTGTGGAGTGTGTCATCTCTTAACTCACTGTAACTGAGCCATAACAACAGCCCTGCAGTGAATACTCAGTGTCTGTACTCATGCCGTTTCACTGATGGGGAGGGAAGCCTGAGGAACTTGCCAGTTTATACAGCCCATCAGATCCAAAGCCAGGCAGAGCTAGGGTCTCTCTGTAGCCCATATTCTTGGCTACTGCACCATAGCTCTTCTCAGACTGATTTAAAGGACATGAAAGGTTGAGAGGCAAAAGAAGATACTCGGTAACCCTGTTATTGTCTTGACTCATGCACTAATGGTTCACACTGGTTTTATAAGCAAGTCGACAATGATACTTAACTTCAAAGGGCTTTCTGTACATTTTAGGCATGTTCCCCAGACACAGCAATGGGACTAGACTAGGGATTTTGCCTCTAGGATGGGGTTTGCATCTCATAAAGTCATCAGCCCCGCTGTCTCTCACCATTACTCTCACTCCCACTGCCGCTAAAGGCAAGATTAGAAAAGGTTTCTTCCATCTGACATTCTTGGTGACTGGGCATTTGATTCTTAGTGACCAGGAGCTTTTCTCTGGATGGTCATCTTTCTAACTTGGCCTAGATCCAAAGTCTACCAGCCTGATGGAAAAATACTTTTTAAAATAAAATTTGCGGAGGAAGAAGTGTGATCGTGTTCTGTGTCTCTAGCTAGAGTTTTGCTTCTGGCAGGAAGAGGAAAGGTCAGCATTTCTCGCTCACAAGTTAATGCTGTCAACATCGTGTGGATTTATGGAAATTGGCTGAGGGAGTAGCTAGAAGGTGCCCAGTGTCCCAGCTGCTGTTGTGATAAATTGTGTAATATGGCTTGGATTAAAAATAATACTCATTTAATTTGTTTAATGATACCAGCATGAAAAAGCCAGCACGCCTGTTCTGAAATCCAGCACACCGACACCTCGGAGTGACATGCCAACGCCGGGCACGAGTGCCACTCCAGGACTCCGTCCAGGCCTCGGCAAGCCTCCAGCCATGGACCCCCTCGTTAACCAAGCGGGTAGAGCATTGCCTCTTGTTGTGCTTTGTTTTGTTTTTCTTCTCCCAGCTTGATTCGTCATCTGTTCATGTTGTGACGCAATTTCCCCATGAACGTGGAATGTAGTTACTGCCTGCCTCCCTCCTTCCTATCTCTGAAAAGCCATGATAAAAAACAGATGTTCATCCTTGGGTTTCAACAGCTGTACCCTGTTCAATCTCCGACTGTTTACATTGACTTTTCTTTTATTTCCAAATAATCCAAATCCTAGGGACTTCATTGAACATTTCTGATGATTATTCTGAATGTAAGCTCCTTCCCAAACTATCACTGTGTGTCTCAAATTTGCTAATATTGACTGAAATGGCCCATCTGGCTGGCCCAGGTGTGCATCTTTGCTTTAGTTGGCCAGTTTTTGGCTAGTCCATCAGGAATCAGGGGTCTCTTCAGTAGAAATTGGAGTTTCACGGAGACCCCAGCCCATGAATAAACTCATAACTTTCCACTTGATCTTCCTCGCTGGGAAAGAAAAAAAGTAACACCCAGGGCCCAAAGAGAAGGAGGCTCCAGAATATTCCTTCTTAACCCATGCTTTGATTTACGTAAGTCCAGGACTAGGTTTTCATTTGGAATTGGTCCCAGGGAATGAAAGGATCAGACAGAAATCTTGGATTTTATCAAGAACCACCTTCCTTTGAAATTAAGGCAGGTAAATAGGTAGTGTCTGTGCCTCAGTTTGCCTTGTATGAATTGAGTGCAGTAATGCTGCTTAATTCCTCCTGGTTTCCCAGTGCTACCAAGGAGGAAATGTGTGGTCAGTGCTTCCCTGGGGGTCTGTTCTTTCTGGAGATGAATTCAGCTCTGGGGAAGAAGGGATGCTGTACAGAATTGGAGGTGATTAACCACCCCCCGCAGCCTCCCCTCCTTTTCCTTCCCCCTAATGAATGGCGCTAAAAAATGATCCTGCAGTCACGTACAGCTTATGCTTCCTTGCAGCGGCTGGCCTGAGGACGCCCCTGGCCGTGCCTGGCCCGTACCCCGCCCCGTTCGGGATGGTACCCCACGCTGGCATGAATGGCGAGCTGACCAGTCCCGGTGCCGCTTACGCCAGCCTCCACAACATGTCCCCACAGATGAGTGCGGCTGCCGCCGCTGCAGCCGTCGTGGCCTACGGGCGCTCCCCCATGGTAGGTGACCGCGGGACGCAGGGGGTGGGGGAGCGCGGGGTGGCAGCCCCCATGCCATGGAAACAAAGGCCCAGTGTCCTCGCCTGCCACCTTCGTCTTGTTCGCCTTCATCCACATGCCGCTTCATTCAGTGACGGCCAAATGCTTTTTTCCTTTACTGTTTTTGTGGATGAAAAAAGGCAGTGTTTAGGAGCCGCTTTAGTGGTTCAGGGGACATCTGGTTTTCTCCCACCAAAGTAAATTTTTTTTTTTTTTTGGAAGGCGATGAAATGGCTCAAGTAGCTTACAGAAGCCTTTTCATTCGTTTTCTTGAAGGTTTTTTTCCCCCCTCTTTAATTCTTAGGAAAAAAATATTTGAGAAGCTGTAACTCTCTCTTTCCATGCCTGTATTATCCTTTAAACCCAATAGCATGGCTTAGTTGTAAGAAGTGATCTCAGTGCAGCAGGCAGAAACAGAAAAAAAGGAATGAAAATAAGGGAGAGGGGATAGATTATAACCCATAGCAAATAAAAATCTGTAAATATTTTCTCATGGTTGTTTGAAATATGTCATGTGCATTTCTCTCCTCTCTCTTCAAATAACTTGGAGTGAGAGTCAAATTCATTGGTTCTTCCCTTATCTTGCACTAGCAGGAGAGACTGTGCTTTGGAGGGCATGGTAGTTTAAAGCAAAGTGGGCAGCTGAGGGACTAGGTACTGTCATTAAGGTGCACAAAGTCATGTATGAATCCTTAAGGATTAACTTAGACCAGTGGTGTGAAACAGGGGGCGATTTTTGCCTCCTGAGGTAATGTCTGGAGATTGGCCCTCAGAGGGAAGAGTCCAGGGATGCTGCTAAGCATCCTGCCTTCTTCAGGACGGCCCCCAACAAAGGATGATTGGGCCCAAAACATCGACAGTATCGAGGTTGAGGAATACTGACTGAGACCACTCAGTCGTAGTGTTCTGTGTTGTTGCTTGGACAAGGCATCCTAAGTGCACAGGAAGTATAGCCAAACCTCGGTTCTCAAATGTCACCCATCTCGAGCAATTCAGTTCTTGACCAAGTTGTTCACAGTAAAAATGTCTCAGTTGAATAAAACTTTGGTTGTCAACTGACAACCCTTTCATACTGATAACCTCTGTGCGATCAGGTGATAAAGGAGATTTGGCTTTTGAACAAATCTCTTCTTGAACACTTTTTCAGAATGAATTAAGTTTGAGAACTGAGACTCCACTGTATTGACCATGGGAGGCTGGTGCTTAGTGCACAAGGGATCACTTTCCATTCAACCCCAGCAAAAAGAAGTATGTCTTGTAGTATTTAGAGGTGGTTGTATCACTTCTTGTGATAACGTTTCCTTTGGAAAATGCCAGCACGAGTTTACTGTTCCTGTTTGTGTTGCTTTGGAGATCTGTGAGTTTCCAGTGAGAAGTGTTTAGAGATGTTCACAAAGTGCCTACCCTGTATAAACTCAGGCTGCCGTATTTTGTTTCTAGGTTGGATTTGATCCTCCCCCTCACATGCGAGTACCTACCATCCCTCCCAACCTGGCAGGAATCCCTGGGGGAAAACCGTAAGTACCTCCAACTCCTCAGTTTTATTTTCAAGGCGGTTACTTAGTCATGGTGATTAGCAGACTAGAATTCCAAAGGGAGCACAGGCCTGGGTGTTTCCAAGGAGATTTCTAGTGTCTTTTCCTGAGGAGTGTTAACACGTTCTATAAATAGGCACCTTGTAGGTGTCATGCCTCTGTCTTCTCCCTGTGGGTGAGCTCATGCATTTAGTTATTTCTGGAGAGAAACTGTTGGAGGGATGCAGGAACCAGAGGTGGTTGGCCCTCCTCCCTTGACTGACCCTTCTTCAGAAAGCTCCGCTGCTTTGCCCTGTGGCTAGAGGGTAGCTGCAGGGGATTTTCAACAGGACTGTGTTGTGGGCGTAAACTGTCACGAACTCTTGAAATCTCAGGAATTTGAAATGTGTTGTCTCTTTACCCAGCGCAGTGCTTACCTTTTCCTTATTTGGGTGGAAATGAGAGTTGTGTAAAGGGTAAGTTGATTGCCAAATAAAGGTTTGCTGAGTGCCTTATTCTGAGAGGTCCAGAATTACAAAATGCAGAGTGGCTGTGTGGGGAGGCAGGAAAGAGAGGTTAAAGGGCAGGGAACATTTAGGGTTTGAAAAACCCTGTGGGTTATTCCTCCAGAGTCACTTGAAATCACTTGCTTTCCATAATGTTAATAACTAGAAATGTGATTTCAAAGAATTCCTAAAGTTCTCAATTTTTGTACAAAGCAAGTTGAAATATGTCTTACTTCACAGCAAGTACTCTGCCTTTCTCTGGGATAGGAGATGGCAGAGAACCTGTTCCAATTCTGTTGATTTTTCCAAAGAGAGGTTATGTCGTAGGCCTTCAGTTTGTTTTTGTTATACCCTTTACCTTTGTGTGTTTGCAAAGGACACAGAAAGTCGAAAGCAGACATTATTATTGCATTATTCTGAATGGTTCATTCAACTACCTGGCCATCCTTGTGTGATTTTGATTGAAGCCTTGTTTCAACTGAACCAGGAGCATTAGGAAAAAATAGAAGAATTCTTTATTCTCATCATCTGCTTTTAGGAAAGTGGAGTCCTGTCATTCCACTTTTCATGCATTGTAATATCTGTTTCATAGTGATTTGATTGATGATATGAGGCTTTTCTCTACGCTAGGAACTAGTAGAGGTGTTAAGAATTTAGGTGGCATCGAGGCCCAGGGAAGAGCGGAATTGGGGAGTGGGTCAGTGTTGCAAATGCTTACTTAGCTGGTAGATTGCTTCCAGTTAAAAACCCATGAACTACTATGCTATGTGTTCTCTTGGGTATGTTGCCCTCTGTCCAGCCTGGGATGTCCCAGGGCACTTACGGATTTTTTAAATATGTGTTTATTGACAGGGTAGCTGTTGTGTATCCTGCTGACTGGCGAGTGGGTAAATGACAAGTAATGTTGTGATAAAAGGCAGTAATTAATAGTCATTACTGAATCGTTAGGGAAATAAGGAGCAGATAAAGCCAGTTCAACCAACCATTAAGGAAAGCCTGTTTCAAGAATCGTTGGTATGAAGGTGTGCGCCACTGCCAAGACCCACCTTGAATATGATATGTGAAGGGGAAGGTGGGCAGAGCTACACTACAGCGCTGGCTTCCAAGGCTGGAGCCCAGTTCCTTGTAACTGTATTTGTGCATGTGCACACGTGCGTGCGTGCATGCGTGTGTGTGCGTGCGCGCACACACATGCAGTATTGTATATGTCAATTGCCTGATTAGACACGAAGTTTAAACCTTCAGTGCATGACAGTACTGGTGTCATGCTTATTAGAGCCAAAATATTCATGTCCTTGGCTTGTGAGCACCTTGGGTTTTATTCACAGCAGTGTAAACAGGATATGAGGTGCCCTGGACAAGGACAGTGGGCATAGTGACTAAGTTGTGAGATTCTCACATATGAGGGTGCTTTTCTTCTCTTGGTCAAATGGACATGGATTGGAGTGGTCATTGCTGTCTAAAACAGTTAAAATATATTTTTTATATTTTGCATTTTATATGAGCAAGATGGAGTTAATATCGGAAGGCAAAGTGAACTGCCCCATTGTCACCAGGATCAGAGCTATAGAGTCTTGCTCTCTACATCAATCCATTAATTAGTAACTGTTCTTACCGGTTAGTGAAGTGCTACTGCCTGAGACGGTGCTTCTCTCACCTGTTGTGCTGACAGACCAGCTTTTTCGTAGTATGGCAGGTTGATACTCTTGCTGCATACAACCCAGATGAATGGGGGGAAGATACAAAGTATCCCAAGTTTTTAGTTCTAGAGTTATGAACTGATTGTTATATAAATGTTTCTTAATGAGTTCAAAGTAGCCAATGTCTGCAGACCACACTGTGAACAGCACTGGTCTAAGACACCTAAGAGGAAGTGTGGCAAACCAGTATGTTCGGAGTTGGGTGAACAAGGTGGTAAAGGCTTTGCAAGTGTCATTCTTTGAGAAATACCAGTTGAAATATTTGGATGGCTATTCACCGATCTGAGCAAGAACTGTATGGCTTTGTGCTAGATGCTGAACATGCTTCGGACAAGGGAATGTTGCCCTCCCTGCCTGGGAGGTGGAGGGGGTGGCTACTGTTATGGTGTGGACATTAAAGGAATAGTGAATTCTTTAGTTGTGTTTGTGATTAGTGATAAGTGCTGCGAAGACAGAGCAGTGGGTTATAGGCAAACATGTATAGAATGACCAAAATTTGGAAGAGGGGAGGGCTTCCTCAGAGTGAGGCTGACACACTGAAAGTTGAACCATGTGCGGGAAGGAGTAAACCCAAGGGGCAAAGGGGACAGAGTAAGATAAGCTCCTAGCACAGGGAGCTTGAGGGATCATGTGCAGATGGATCCCTGCCTCTTAAAAGTGATACAGCCAGAAGAGTTCGTTGGTGCTGGAGGGACCTTGAAATGCCTCTAGCCATAGTAAATGCTCATCTGTGGCTCAAGTCGCCTCACCAAGGGGCTGGGTGCCTCTGACCAAGCGTAACTAGTGACAGGGGACTCGCTGCTGCCTGGAGCAGTCCATTTTCTCCAGCTGTGTGAAAACTCTTCCAGGCCTTAAGCTGAGATCTGTCTCCCTGGAACTTTACCCATCAATCCTGGTTCTTTCCTACCCCCTGAGACCACACAGTGCGCCGCTCATCCATCACCCTCATGACAGCCCTTCAGATATGTGTGGAGACCACCATCTGCCATGAGGCGCCTCTTCCGGCTGAATATGTCCATGCTTCAGCCCTATCTCTTAGGATGTGATTTCGGGCTCCTGCACCACCTGCTCACTAAAATCTAGATAGTTGCCTCCCTCCCGGCTTCTTCCCCAGATTTCATCGGGACTTGCTGCACAGGCATAGGGTGCCCTCTGGGAGCTCATAGCCTAGGGATGGAGAGACAGCATTAATCAAATAATCACAAAAAATAAATACCTAATTGTAATTGAGATAAGAGCTATGACAGAGAGGAACTCTTCTATGAAAGCCAATGACAGACTGATCCCATCTGAAGGAAGGGTCAAGGAAGAATTCCCAGGCGTGTTTTCTGAGCTGCATTAACCCCACAGGGGCAGGACAGAAACCTCCAGGTTTCTGCATATGGAGGAACCAACATAAGCAAAAGGCCCTGTGCCCTACATGCTTGTCAGAGAGGAATAGAGCAAGGTGACTCATGGTGCCACTGTTCTGTACCTGTTTTTGGTGTTAGTCATCTAAGGTCTCTGTAGGGTTTTTCAATTAACACGGTCATTTTCCCTCTCCCACACCAGCCTTTCTTAACTTCTTTGTTAAAGGCATATCCTCCAGTGTCTTCCAAACTTTAGCCTTTGATTCTTCCTTATTTAACTCCCATTTTACCCAAAGCCCTCACAGGCCAAGGTCATTTTTTGTTAAAATCCTCTTATTTTATACCTCCTTTTGTCAATAGGGTCCTAGATGAGTTTTCCCCTTTCTAAAGTATTTATCTGATCGGATCTGTTTCTTGCTCAGAGGTCTTCAGAAGTTGCTATAAGCTCCTGATGTGGCTGGCATTCAAGGCCCCTCTGGCAATACCACTCCAGCCTCGTGTCTGTGTTTGCGTCTTGTGCTCTGGCCAGATGGGATATCCACTTATTCCCTAAAGGCTCCTCCTTCTACTCCAAGCAGCTTCCCTTCTCACCAGTCTTTTCCTCTTCCTGTAGAAATATTTTCTGTTCAAAGACCACTTCAGTTGCTGCCTTCGTCACAAAGCCTTTGCTTATGACTTTCCATACATGATCTCTCCAGGAGAATATTTTGTGACACTTTTTCATACTCTGGCCTTGAGTAAATTTGTGTCTACATGTCATTTCTCTCTGCTTCTTCCCCAGTAGAATTGAAACTTCGGACGTCCTCCTGTCCCCTTGAGCATAGCTACCCATAAACAAATGTTTGCTGCATTGACTAGGTGGGAGCTGAGCCCAGGACCATGGGAGACTCTGAGATTCATCCTTCCCAAAGGAGATTCGCAGTTTGCACTTCAGAGTTCAGTGGTACTGATTTAAAGTGGTAACCCCGACTGTTTCTAAACCCTCGAGATTAGATTTATTTCATATTGTTTGGTCGGCTCAACTTGAACTCAGTTTTAGTTGCAGGAAATGTATTCCGCTGTGCTCCACGTAGATCACTGGTGAAAGAAATGTGGAAGTATAGTCAGATTGACGCCTCTTAGTTGTGCTTTATACATACCCTCCACCCCTCAAAAGGATTTTCTAGCCCTGGAGCTATGCTTTCCTCCTGTGCTCTACCTGCCTCCTGTGGTAGCACCTAGAGGTCAGTAATAACTCAGACTAATAATAGTTTGGCTTAAGATTCCAGCTTAGTTCCAGGTTCCTTCACCCTGTGTTTTAACGCCAGACATGTAATTGAGAAATCTTCCACCCACTTGTTTAGTGTTTAAATAAATCTTTAAAGTACCTTTCAGAGTCGGAGCTAAAAGGGAAAGAAAATGTTAACTACATCTGGGCTAAAATCACCTCTTAGGAAAACATGTTTTGC